TGCACCCTTGTTCTCCTCCTCTATCCTGTCCTCAATCCGTGCTCCCGGAACTGAGCATCTAAACACCTAGCAGCCAGCTCCTTTAACCACGTTCAACTTCACCAACCGCGACAGCAGCGAGTTAAAATCACAAGCCCATTTCTGCGACTGAAGATGAAGATATTACAAACAAATATGCACAACTGCTCAAGCTATCAGTGTAGATATTATCCAAATAAAACTACATGCTTACTAGAAATCTCTCATCTGTTCCATGGTACTTCCCACATTTTCACTAAATACCCCAAATTTGACGTTTCCTTTTCGTCAAAACCACTTTTTATATAAATCCACTTCTCTCGCTCCACTTTCGCCCCCTCTGCCTTTGCCATAACCCATATCTATTTAAATTATTTTTTAATTTAAGCAAGAATATGCCATTTGTAAAAAAAACTTCTAAACTCCAAAGGGTTTAGCAAAAATTACCTAGTTCCCATATTCTTTTTATTGCGTGTCAGAGCCTCACGCGCTTCCGCCATTGTCGAAAATGTCACCAAAGCATCGCCAGAAAGACGGCGCTCTTCGTTATAGCCCAATTTTATTTCAACGCAATTGAGTGGTCGGAAAAATTCCTCAATATCAAGTGTTGTGACGCTATACGGAAGCCCTGGAAAAAGAAGATCAGCTCGGCATACAAATCGTCAAAGTAATCAGTACTGCCCAATCACTATCAACTATTGTTGGACTGGGGCTTTTCAGGTCTAATGTCCGTTGGCCCAGTGTTCCGAGGCCTCCTCGGATGGTTGGCTGGGTCGTCGATTCCTTGGTAATAATTCGGGCTGTTGAAGAGCCCGTGTCCTTCCTTAGTGGTCGGAGCCGTCAGCACAACACAATACAACTTTAACACAGAAACAGTGGCCTTATATAGGCAGCTTCACGCCTTTGTTCATGCCCTATCTAGGAGGGAGTCACGATGAAACACTTTAACTGAACTTGTCCGTATGGATTGTAACTGAGGTGCATCACAAAATCGAAGGCCTTTTAATTTTAATTGCATATCTATCCAGCTTACATTCAGGCTTCCATTACTACGTATGCAAACTGTCTTCTTCGTGGGGACATTCGTGCAGTCATTTCACAACTGCTAAAAAAGACAAAAATACGGCATAAAAGAGTCTTATACTCCATCCTGCAGCTGGTAGCTTTTCCAAACTGCTTTAGTTCCCTACTCATGTACGAGCAAAATCAGGTGTTTAGAAACGCTTGCGGCCCACATACGAGGGCGTGGAAATTTTGGCGCGAAAATTACTAACCCAGGAATGGGGAAAGCTAGAAAGCTGAAACTTTAGGAGAACCCTTCCTACTCATGTACGAGCAAAATCAGGTGTTTAAACAGTCAACCTGCTAGCGATTCTGATACTCATTCCATTTCCTGAAGGGATTACCAACTCAACGAAATACATGGCAAGGCTTCTTAGGATGCATCTGGTGTGCGTCAACCTTCAGCACCTGGGGTCTCGAAGTATGCCTCTTCTGCGGATGTCTTAAAGAAATATGCAAATTTTTTGGCGGGAAAGCGATCTCGACAAAAAAAAAAAACAAGGTAGAGCGCTGGCACTTTGCTTGGATATTCTCTGTGCACTTGTGAGCTAAAGATTTCCTCTCTTAGACTACGACTTGTTATTACTTTGACCATTTTGCAAATGTCACAATCATGAAAAAGTGAAAATGTCGCGCACGACTTTCGAATACCTCGCATGAACACTTTTGCCGGATCATACATTGTATCCTCAAATTCCGGCTCATAGCGTCCGCCATATCGTAGATAACGCTCTCTGTCCATAAATGGTCGTTCGTATGGTGATGGACGGAGATGTACGCTTGAAAGTCGCATGGGTCCACCAAAACGACCTGGATATTCTCCACCGTAGCTAAAAAAAAGAAAAAATGAAAAAAACAGGCACTTTGCGCAAAAATTTTCAGTAATCTTAAACTCATTTCAATCCTTCCCCACCCCCCCCCGTTCCCCATTCCCTCTCCCTATTTGATATCCTCACCTGAGAAATCAGGACTCGACAGTAAGGCGGATACCCAAAAAACTATAGCTAAAATAAGTACACTCTTTAAAGCCACGTTTGGTCGATAAATTCTTTGTGCGCCCGAAGAAATTCATGTATTTGTAGACTCTGAAGAGAACTGTATACAAAACACACAGAAGCACAACAAAGCGGGCAAAAATATCAGACTGTAAAGCTATCTCCGAATCTCACTTTCGTTGCTAGACGAGAATTATGCTAAAAGAGGCTATTGTTTCCGAATCGTAATCTTTAAAAAATTGGACGGTTCAAAGAAATCAAATGTGGAATGGCCGGAGTCCGAAAGTTCAGTAAGTAGCTTAAATGAGACTGCAAAATTTGGCTCCTCAGAATATTAAACGTACATATACGACTGTTCTATCCCTCTCTTTTCTCTTAGGGCGTTCGCTCAAACACCTCTAAGATAAATGACACGCCCTTGTCATATACTTCCAACCCCAATATTTCTTCATTTATTATGTCACTGCACTTTGCCAGCAGTAATGCTACTCTTCCCAACACTTAAAGCGAAAGGTGGAATAAGCTTGTTGGAATAATTTGCTGCCGTTGGTAGGCCAAACCGTAGTGTTTAAAACAAGTAGACGATACGAAGCATGAAAAATGTGGAACGGCCACAGTCCGAAAATTTTATCCTGAGGTGGGGTTAGTTTAATAAGCTATGATGGAAAAGATTGAAGGGCTGCTCATGTGGCACAAAACCGTATGGCATGTAGAAGGGTCATATACAGAGAAGTATGCAAAAAGAAGTTTGCCTATGTTTCATCCCTTAGCTGTAAACACAGAAAGTATAAGGTGCAGTTAGGGGCGGGAATCATCAGTACAGCCTCCTAACAACCATGTAAAAATACTAGAAAATTGGAGAATAAAATGCTATGCCTGATCTGCTTTAGAAAGAAAGGACCACAGTACGGGATTAATGATCTAATACACAATGCTTATGAAGAAGAGATCGTACTGTGAAATTGGCAAAAGCAACGATGCGGGAAAAAAATGAAGAAGAAACACTCCAATCACGCTTACCGTTCACGAAAACGGAACTCAAGCGATGGGCTCAGGCCACGCAGCGGGACAGGCCCACTGCTTGGTGGTGGTATTCCACGTGATGCATAAAAGCTATGTTCCATTTCTTCAGCCGAGCTACGGAAAACTTCGACATATCTAGAAACCATCACGCTGTAAAATACACATACAAAGTGTAGGAAACTCTTAAGGCTTAAAAGCTTCAGATTTTTGCCCAATTCAAAATCTGGCAGACTTCCAATTCCAATTTTACAACTATCTGACTTAGCATTAGCTCAATTTCCGAACAGAAACAGAACAAAAACAGGAAAATTTGGTTTTTTTTTTCCTTTTTTTTCGGAAAAAGACTCGGACGCCGGATGACTTCGCCTAGAAACCTAATTCTTAATATGTCAAAAAAAACCACCGGCACTGATTCTTCTTTTTTTCTTTTCTTTTTTTTAAAAAAAAAAATAACTGTAAGACCATACCAACACACAAAAAGTACGAAATTTTACCTGCCCTGAGAGATCAAAAGCCCTCCAACAAACCACAACAACAGCGAGTGTAGTATGATTGAATTATCCCATACCTTGAACCCATGTAGTTTTTGCTTCT